AGGTTCTAGATTTGTATAGTACTAATTAATCCCTTTAGTGTCTAGCCTTTAAAGCTAATATTTGTTTAGCTAGGTGTTTAATTAATTTTTATATATAAGTTCTTTTATATGTACGCCTTAAGTTAGGACTTACTAATAGTAGAGATCTTTACTGCGCCTGTGTTCTATAGTTTGCCTTAGTATACTATACAGTATTAGTTATTAAGGATAAACTGCTTAGCATATTTCTTAGGTTTAATGCTGTAGATGTCCTTTCCTATTGCACAGTATAAATAGGCAGTAAAAGTAAAGTAGTTAATAGCTTTTTTAGCATTTTTACTTTCTTATTCTATTTTCTCTACATTATGCAAATTATTTTTTTCCTTAGAGTAACCTTTAAAGTCTTAGATGTACAAGGTAATAGCTTTATATAATAAGGTTTTATTATAGAAATTTTTATATAAAGCAACATACTAGTTCTTTACTTATGTATAGTTATTATAAGAGTAGTTTAATAACTAACATTCTTCTTTATAGTAAACAAAGCACTTCTTTATTTATGTGCAGTTGTCTCTAGATTATAGCCTAAACCTAGATAAAGATCTTTTATATTATTCTTTTCTATACAGAAAAAAGCTTTTTTCTTATTATGTAGACTTTTATTATGCAGAGTTATATTAGTAGTTTATATAGTATGTATTAGGCAGTTTCTAGAGGTATTAGTTTACCCTTTAGTCTATAGTAACTTAGAGTAATGCCTATAAGTTACTAAATAAGGCTTTGCATAAAGGCTTAATAGTAAACATAGCATGTTCTAGTTCTAGTTATTCTTAACAAGCTTATATAATAGTAGTATGCAGTAGAACATCCTCTTAGAATTTTATTCTAAGTGCTTTTTATATAAGTGTAAGCTTGTTAATTATTATTTTAAGAACTTTATATAAACTTTTATTAAAGTTTTTTTATTAGCATTATATAAAAGTTATTATTATTTAGTTTATCTAGTACTAGCTATAGTTTACATTAGTGTTAAAGTAACTGCTTAAAGTGTTATACAAATGCTTCTAGTTATGTCTAGAGCTTATGTTGTGCATATAGTACATATTTGCCTAACCTTTTAAGATATCTAGAAAGATGTCTGTGTACTAAGTTTTCTAGATATCTAGCTATTAACATAAATTAATAAAAATTTTTATTTTATTTATAAAAATGTTATATAGTTAACTTATGTAGTTATTATTTTTTTTATGCTTTTTAAAATTATATAATTTTATCTACTAGAAGTTTTTCTTTAGCAGTTTCCCTTTAGAGTAGAAGTTTATACAGGCTGTAATATAGTATAGATTGTGCAGGTAGTATTAGTAGTGCATACACTACTGCAGGCGGTAGTGTGTACAATTAAGGGTGTGGAGCAGGCGTTAGGTAGGGTGGCATGTATTGTTTATATAGTAATTAGTGTAGTGCTAGCTAAAGTGTAGAAGCAGGTAATACTAGTATATTTAGTATTAATAGCAGCATTATGTTTAGTCTGCTTCTATGCAGAGCCTTATATAGTAATAAGGGTTATGTATAAAGCCTTTTTAGTATAATTGCCTTTTCTTATACTATATTATACAGCTTCTAGGCTTAGGTACCTTTAGTGCCTAGCTATAGTGTAATTTCTTTGTCCTTTAGCACTTATATAAGCTCTCTTTTAAATGCGCAGCTAAGTGCTAAGAAGTTTTATAGTGTCTATCTTTTAAAATTCTTTATGTACGCACTTAAAAAAGTAGCGCCCTTCTAAGTTATTATATGTAAATTAGTAATTATATAACTTATGTATAATTAAGTCTACAGGCTTATTAAAGCTTTTAACATGTTAATTTTATTATTTTAGTACTCTAGGCTAGTCTTATTTTATAGTGTTGCCTTTAATATCCCTATATCCTTTATAAGTTATTTATATAATAAAAATTATTTTTTATTTTTTTTATTATTACATAGAGTTGTTAGTTGCTAGTAGAATTTTATTATAATAGTATAGTTAATTACTTTTCTAGTAAATTGCGCAGGTACTGCTGTTATCTAGCTGCTAGGTTGTGCAGCTTTAATAGCTTTAGTGTACACTTTATACTATCTCCTTTTTACTTTGTACAGTAGCAGAGCTTGCTGTATAATGTAAAAAATTAATGTGCTATTATCTAGCTACTAGGTTATGTAGCTTTAGTAGCTTTAGTGTGTGTCTTACACTATCTTCTTTTTACTTTATACAGTAGCAGAGCTTGCTGTATAATGTAAAAAATT